TCTTAATTCCCCCTTTATTATGTCACATTTAAATATGTATTATTCTCTTCTCTTTCCAAAGTTCTTTTGTCCTGAATTAGCCTTCTTCTCTTTATTTATTTGATTAAATTGGATATATTAAAATACAAAAGAATGCCGCTATCCTTAAGAAAACATTTGCTTTTCCCCAATAATATTTAAAGCTTTTTTTTTGGATTCTTAAACAATAATTAGTTTTGCAAAAAAATAATAGAGAGAAGGAAGATTAAACGATTGAAAGAAGAAAAAGTAAAAAGAACTAATTAGTAGTTAAGATTGATTACTCTTAAATAAATTGTGGGAAAAGGAATTTTTAAATAAAAAAAGTTTTTAAAAATAGAAAATTATTTTTCAATTTATAGTCGATCAATCATAATCAGAGAATAATTATTATTATTATATATGAGAACAAACAATTTTATATACATTTTGTTGTTTAAAAGTTTGGAAAATATTTAGTAATAAAAATAAAATTAATTAGATATTGAAATAATTTGAAAAAATTCTCTCATCATTAGGGTTGTCGGTTATGGACCGAACCGAAGAACTGGGGATTTTTCGGTTCAGTTTCGGATATCCGAAGAATTTCCAGGAACCGACAACCCTACACTCATCTTCTCTAAATTTCCTCTTAAAATTATTATAATTTTATTTTTATCCCTAAATGGAAAAATCTTTTTTTAGAAAATTCTCAGAAAATAAATCAGAACTCTTTTTTTCTCAATTCTTTTTTTAATTTTAAAATTTATTTTTATACCAAATAAATATTTAATTCGTCCAACTTGTAGAGTGGCTAATAAAATATAAATTTATCTTTATCCTTCCACTACCCTCTCAATTACTATACACTAAAAATGTTTATTTAAGTAAAAACATTTTAAAAGCAATAAATTTTGTATTGGAGACGAAGAACAGATTGATGGCCAAAAGAAATTAAAGTAACCAATTGACCATTAAAAAAATAAAGAAGAACAACTTTTCTACTAAAAAATATATTTTTAAATGTTTATCTAGATAGGTTTTTAAATAAATTTTCGAGAATTAAAAAAAGAGAAATAAAAAATATTAGTTTTTATTGTTAGACTGATTTTGTTGTTATTTATTGCTTATTTTTATATAAATTTATTCAAATAAAAAATAGGTAAATGAAGGTAGGAATGAATGAGGTAATTTTTTAAGTAAATATTTGGGCTAAAATTTTGGAAAAAATTCTTGGGAAATTTCTGTTGAAAAATTTCCTTCATATTTCTCCTTGTAAGAGTTTGGAACCGCCCCAAAGAACCAAGGATTTTTCGGTTCGGTTCCGGATATCCGAAGATTCCAAAGATCTAAAAAGGTCTCCAAATCCAGTCAGAAATACATGTATTTTAACAAATAAAAGGAGATCTTTCCATAAAATAAAGTATTCTTCAAAAATTCAAATTCATCTCAAATACCCGTCAAAACAAAATTCTTTTTTTAATTTTAATCACCATCCAGTATTTGTTGTTCTCATAATATTAGAATCATTTCTTCCTTCTTTTTCTTCTTCTCGATTATTTACATATCCATTATTGCATCCAGTAAAAACATTTGAAACAGAAGCATTTTGTGCTGCAGCTGCTGCCGCAGCTATGGCTGTTAGGGCAGCATTTGCTTGGGCAAAGTTACGTTTTTCTTCTTCGGCTTCTTGTTGCCGTTTAGATTTTGCACGTCTATTCTGTAAAAATATTAAATAAATTTTTATTTTGTTTGTTTATAAATTGTTTAGAATTAAATACAAATAAGGTATAAATAAAACAAAAATATTAAGATTATTATTCCACCAATAAACGAGATAATTTTCAAATATGTACATAGTATTAGGGTGTAACATAAATAATTAGCCCCCCTTGTGGTAAGAGGATTAAATAATTATTAAAATTCAACTAAATGTTTTCAGACTTCAAATAATATCTTTCTATGATCCTATAAGAGTTGCCTATTTTCTGGCAAAAAATCAGAATTCTAGGTCTAGGTTGGCCGGAGTTAGAGGCAAAATAATAACCCTTGTACTTTTGAAACAAGGCAAATTCTTTTTGATTTTTCTCAGCTAAATTGATGAGTAGAATGAAAATTTAAATAGATTCGGATAGAGCATAATCTAATGAATACGATGATATAAAAAATTCGTCCGGAAATCAGTTGGCTGATTTTTTAGAGGGTCGCGTTTGCGAAATGTGGACTAACATTATGCTGTTTTAGGATAACCCATGCGCGAAAATGCCCAGAGAGGCCAGGAGACCGGGTTTTTTGCTGGACTCGATCTAAATGGTAAAAATACTGTTTGATGGTAATAGTTTAGCCAGTTTAAACTAATTTCCAATGATTACGCCTCCGTGACACCACCAAATACATAACAGATCACGCTGTTGGACCAGTCTGATTTAGAGGTCGAAACTGATGGAAATCTGGGATGAGCCGTTCAATTTTGTATACAGAATTCATGAAGGCAACCCACTCTTTATTATAAGTTAAAATTTGTATCAAACAAGGAGCTTCATTATGGCGTTTAAGGGTTTGTTTTCCCGCCTTAAGTAAAATTATGATAATTTTTGTAAGTGAGCAGGTGAGTGCCTGCCCCAATATACACATTTTATTTTTTGGACTGGCTTTGATTCAGGGGAGAACGGGATTCTTATCTATCGTTGGTTGGCATCCAAGACGTTATTTGTCTTTCGGCTCCTCTCTACTTTTCTTTTACTTGGAGAGCCAACTTTTTTCAGTGGAATATGAGATAACATCCCCTTACTTCGCTATGCATATTTTGCGCCATAATAATTTTTCAGAATATCCAAGTTCAATCTCATCATTGAGGTGAACACTAATTTCTTAATTTTCCTTGATCTTTAAAAATTCATAAAAAATTTGTATGTTGAGAAAAAATTTCAAATCTTTAAGAAAATGAAGAAGGCATCATTAAGAATATATGACGAAAAAATTAAATATATTGGAGATCTGTACATTGAGATATAAAGTTTACAATGTACATGGTTTAAGGGGGGCTAATTATTTATGTTACACCCTAATATATGACTTTCAAAAATATCTCCCCAAATATTTAATTGCTTAGGTATATCCTTTTATTTTTAATTATAATTTAATTATATCGCCGCCTTTTTAAAATAGCCATACATAATATATCCTATCCTTCCCCTTTCCTCCTTTCCCTAGTTATTAATGCGATTATAATCTGTTGAAACTGACATTCTTTTCTTTATAAAATGATGAATGAATAGAAAAGAAAGTAAGGTAATAATAATCATCCCCCTTCCACAATTTTCTGCTTTTCTCCTTCCAAAAATTTTCCTTAAATGGCCCAATTACATAATTGGCGGCACTAGCAGTTAGGTAAGGACAATTATATTTAAATGAATGGAGGTATATATCCTCCAAAAAATATCTAAATATTTCGCAGTATTTAGCGAATAAATGTTTTTGAGTGATATTTTTATGAGTAAATTGCTTAAGGCAAATATTATCTCATCTCGTTTAAATAAATATTATATAATTTAGAGGATTATTGGCTAAATATAAGTATATTATTTTAAAGAGAATAATCTAAGAAAACAAAAAAAATATTTTGACAATTCACAATTAAATAACAATAATTTTCTCTTAAATAATTTGCCACATTTTTCGTTTACCGTAATCCTCCAAAAAAGGAAAAAGAAGAAAAATAAGGGGAGAATGAGTAAGTAACGAATAAAAAAAGGTAAAAATAAATCACGTAAAATTTAAAATGACAATAAACAAAGATTTAATTATAAAATAAAGAAATAAATAAATAATTAATTTATAAAAGAATTTAAATACATAATTAAACAACCTTTTTTGTTAGATTTATTAAATAAATTAACAAGTAAATAAAGGGGCTTTATTTCCAAAAATGTTAATGCCTCTTAATAATTATTTTAATTTTAAGTTAACAGCAGGGTTGTTTCAAACAAAAAATGTTCGAAAATCGGAAATCGAAACCCCCACCATCTAAAATCGAAATTTCTAAATAACTCCAGATACTCTTATTGGTACTTTTCCGTAATTTAGGGGGGGGGGGAGGGTGTGTGAGTGTGGCATAACCCCCTTATTATATCTTATTTTTCCCTAATATATTTACTTATTCTTTGCGTGATCTCCTCATTCATTAGCTCTTCTCCATCACTCAAAAAACTTTTCATTCAGTTACCTCAACTCAATATATATTTGCAAATGACGCCAGCTGGGAGGAATACGAAAAAGAAAGAGGAAAAACAATAAAACAAAAAAATATTACTGTGGTATTTTGGATAAATAAAATTAAAAAATAAGGCGCTAAAAAGGGAGAGGAGAGAGTAAAGTAATATAAATTTAATATAAGAACTGCTAATCTCCCTTACAAAAAATTATTTTCCCCTCTCACAAAAACATTTTTAGTAAGCTATTAAAAGCCATATAATAAATTCACACTGGGAAAGAAATAAGAAAATAATTTTACGATTTTTTGGTCATTAGTGGTTATGGCCATTTTAAGGAAAAGGTTTTTGGTAATAAAAAATAAATTTTATTATATATTTCTGGAAAATATATTTAGGTAATTAATAAATTGGGGAAATTAAAATATTTAAATTAGTGTGTTAGTTAAGAAATTGTAAAACTAATTTTTTTTTGAATTTTCAAGGTTTCCGATTGATTTGAAATTTTTATAGGACATTTAAAAACACAATTGGGGCACGATCGAGTGAAATATTCTTTTAAAAATTTTGTTGATATGTCCAATAATGTTAATAAGTGTTATATAAAAATTTTAGATTAATTAGACAATTGGAACCTTTAAAATAAAGAAAATTAGGTTAATTTATAATTTCCTGAAACACTGTATATAATCTCTTTTGATGTCTTTCATTTAAAATTTTTCTTAAAAAACATTTAATTTTATATTAATATTTAAAATTCAAAAAATACCCCCTAATTTCTTAAATTTTTATTTAAAATACCTGAAACCATATTTTCACTTGTTGTTCAGAAAGTTTCAAATTAGACGAAAATTCAGCCCTTTCGGCAATAGATAAATATTGTTTTCTTTGAAATTTTTGTTCTAAAGCTGTTAATTGTTGTTGACTAAAAGGGGTTCGAGGTTTTCGATTGTTTTTGTGTCTTCGAAGCATACAAGAGGAAATATCTATTGAGGAAATTTTTGTTGTAGAATGCTCATCTGTTTTTGAAAAAAAAATAAATTTAAAATTGAAGATATTTTCTAATAATTTTTCGGGAGCAGGCCGACGTACCGAAGAGCCATAACTTTGTTCAAAATAGTCAAATCCGGGACGCCGTGGTATGTTCGACGCATCTCAACGAGCTGAATCGAACAAATCAGGACGTCCTAGATATCAGGGCGTCCATTTTAAACGAAGTTATAGCTCTGCGGTACGTTGGCCTCGCGGTACGTTGGGGTGTACTCGAATTTTTCATCCAAAAAATGAAAATTATTTAGAGTTTCTGAAGAAAATTTTCTTGAGAAAAAATTCAAAAAATTCTCAAAAATTTACCATAAAATTTCCGATGTTCCTTTCCATTTTCCACAATTTTTCCATTTAATTTACTTCCTCCTTTATCTATAATTGTAGATGATTTTTCTGTAGATGAAGAAGAATAATTAATTAAATTTTGATTTTTATTTAAATTATTTTCTCCTTCTTCTCCTTCTTCTCTTAAAGAATTATCAAATGAAGGAATTCTTCTTTGTTTCGAAATAATTTGTTGTTGTAACCAAAACATTGCTGCAGCTGCCCCAGCTATCGGAGAAGTTGAAATTGAGGGGAAATAATTTCCGAAAGGGGAAATTTGTGGGGGAAAAAATGTTTGGGGAATATTTGGGGAAAATTGAATAAAATTATTGTTTGGTTGAAATTCTTGTTGGATTGTTGAAGTTGTTGTTGTTTCTTCCTTATTTTCATTTGATGGAGCTTCAGGTAAATGGGAACGCTCATTTGAAGTATGGCTACTTGTAGAAGGAATAGACTCCTCTATCATCTTAAAATAAAAATAATGAACGTTGATCACGAAATGTTTGTTAGATCAAAGTTAAAATAAAAGTCAGATAGTTTAAGTAGGGCTGAGGTTTTCAGCCGACGTTCGAGTTATTTTTATCGTGCTGGCCCGGCCTCTCTCTTAAAAAAATAGAGCCAATGAATTCTCCATTTTTAATACATACAATCCCCTTTTCTCTCTTTTTTTTTTAATTTTTAAAATAATTTACTTGATTATTATTTTCACCCCTAATTTCTCGATTTCCATTTCCAACTTCTTGTTTATTTAAATTATTATTTTCTTCTTTTATTTCTTCCTTTTTAAAATTTTTCTTTCTTTGTCTCCATTCTTTGTTTTCGAATTCGCCTAGAAGAGATTCCACGCTGAACATTTTTTACTAAAAAATTTGGAATAAATTAAGAATTTTTGAAATTATTTTTCGTTAAAAAATTGTTGTTTTAAATTAAAAAGAAAGGAGGTTATATGTAGGATATTCTGAAAATAATTTCCTTAACATTTTTGATATTTATATTTAATGGCACATAATTAAATATCCTTAAATTTTAATTAAGAATTAACTATTCCCCTCTTTTTTAATATTCATTCTTGTTCTGTTAAAATAAAGAAAGAATTTTCCCCTTTTAATTAATTAAATGAATTTAAAGTTAAAAAGAGCAGCTAAAACTTGTGTGGCAGTTGAAGCAATTACGATAATTTAAATTTATAAAATAATTATAGTAGTTAAGTTGATTGTCTCGTTAAAAATAATGGGGAAGGAAAATAAAAAGAAAATTATGGAGAAAATGATTGGAAAGAAGAAAATAAAGTAAATTACTTTTTGTCGGAAAAAAATTCCGCCTCCCGTTGCCTTAAATGCCGCCGGGATTTGGGAGGAGCTGTGAGGGAAAAACGTGGAAAATAAAATTTTATTTAATTTTTGGTGTCTGCGTCTTTTAAAGAAGGCTCAATAACTTTTTAATGACAAGAAAAGAAAATAAAAGAGATCTTGGAATGAAAGGGGAGGGGCTTGCTAGATCCTCTTTGATCTTTTAACGCCTAAATAGATACGCCCATTAGAATAGTTATTTTTTAAGCAATAAAAAAATGATTGGAAAGAAGAAATATTTTTTGTTTGTTTTTAAAATGATTTTTTAAGTTTAACTATTTTTAATTAAAATTAATTTTTTGTATTTGGTATTGCTAGTGAGAGTGAATTTGGTATGTTGTTTTAATTAAAATTCCCATATTAGTAAAAGTTTTTTGTAATATCACAAAATTTAACAGTGTAATTTGTAAGAAGTTTGTGATAATTTTTTGATTATCCTTCGGTAAACTATCCTTACAAAATATATAATTTAATTAGCAAAATAATTATAAAAATAAATTCTTAAAATAAAATTAAAAGCCTTTTTTTCTTCTTTTTATTAAACAATTTAATCTTTGCCGAATTATTTGCGGATCTATAGCAATAAACAATATTATTTAAAAAAAAAGAAGGAAAGAGCCAATGTGTGCCAAATACGGAAATTGGTCCTTTCCTTTTTTTTCTCTCTCTCCTTATCCAATAAAGACCGCCCTTCTTCCCCCTTTTTTTCTTCCTCCAATTCCCTCCATTTCCTCTTTTTAAGGCGTAGATCCATTTTTCTTCCCCTTTCTGATTCCCTGTTCAATTGGTGTTTGTTTGCGCCAATTTCCATCTTAAAATTCCCGCTTTGGCCCTAATTGAGTTTAAAGAAAGCAAAAATGATAAGCAAATGAAAGTGAGGAATAAACAATCTTAAAAATGACATTAAATTGTTTGGGAGGCGAAAATTGGCTGTCTGGATTTTTTAAAAATCTTATAATAAAACAGAAATTTTTTAAAGAAATAAAAATATAATTTTAAAAATTTAACAAATTTGTTGATGAAATTTTATACTCTAGGGAATGCCAATTGAGCTTATATAAAATCTTTTTCCTAATAAATATCTATATTTATTTTGATATTAATATTACGAATTAACGAGCTTTTGCATATCTTATTTAAGATTCCGACACTCATTGCCGAATTGTGGGAACTTACAATATTTACAATGATTAATTAAATAAATGTCGAACTTTTTGAAAAATTGTTATAATTACTTATGTATTTAAAATATTCTATTCATTCCGATTTTTCTTTAGCATGATAATAATAGGGGTATTGAACAAGTCTAAAACGTTTACTTGATTTTAGTTCAGGTAACCGAGTTTTGACCAACTCTAATTTATTTTCTCCCCATCCTTCTTAAATACACATAAAAACAAAAAATTAAATTTCCAAGTTGAGAAAATTTAAAATTAAAATTTTCTTCCAAAAATTCCATAATAATTTTTTCTTTTAAATTTTCTTTTTTTAAATATACATATTTTAGCCTTTAGCAAAGCAGCTCTTAGCAATAAAAATACTTTTAAAGTTTACCGAAAGGTGTTAGGCAAATACAGAACAAAACAATAAAAAGTCTGCGGCAGTATCCATTTCTTGATTTAACCCTATGGGATTTTGGCTTTGAGCATTAGAAGGAAATTGACAAAAATATATGAAAATATTGTGGAATTTCTATGTATTTTTCATCCATTTTGTTTCTATTTTACTTGATTTTTTTAACTTTTAAACATTTTTCGAAGGGCTTTTGAGTCAAGCAGCCATGAAAATGTTATGCAGATACTTGTAGAGTTGACTTTTTGGATGTCATTTGTGGAAGCCATTAAAAATAAAGATGATTCTGTGAATTTAACATAAACTGGTGTGTCCATTATTATAATCAAAAAATAATTAAATATTTATAATAAATATAAAATAAAAACAGCTTTAAAATAAAACATAAAATGGATTATATGGCATTAAATTGTGGGCAAGTTGAGGCGAATAGTTAAAGTCAACTTTCTGTAGGTTATGTTGACTGTAACTATTTATAAGACAATTCAAAAAGGAAGGAAAAAGTAAAGTAAATAGAAAAATATTGAGGAAAGTCTTTCCATTCTGATTTTTTCAACGATAAAGAATCTTTAGACTTTCCCCAGTTTATAATAAATAAATACTCTCTAAAAATTAAAAATTTTTTGTTGATTAACAAACAGGTTTATCATCCATATTAATATCCTCTCTATTTTCTACAACAGCAATATCATCTAGAGCACAAGCACCCTAAAATAGAATTGATAAAAAAATTTACTATTTAAAAAATTACCTGGTTGGTCCGAGTATTTTCACACATGAAAATTACCTGTGAAATTAAGAAATGACTTAAATAAAATTTTCATGGATAAAAAATTGAAAAAAAGTAAGAGTTTAAAAGAGAATAGAGATCGGCCTGGGTCTGGACCAAGGCCTGTGTTTTTCCTGTACACAGAGTCAAGGTCCAGGCATTTTTTGACCTTCCTGGATTTTTCCTGGACCTGGGTTTTTCCTGGACTACAGGCCCAGGATCCAGTCCAGGTCATTAAATCAAACTCCAGAGTCCAGGAGCAGGTCCGGGCTTTTCAAAATTTCCGATCTCAAAAAGAGAATATTATAACTATGTGCAACTACATACCCCCTCCTCCATTAATAACTTAAACTGAGAACAATCAAAATTTGTGACAAATACACACAAATCAATTAACAACAAAAAATATCAACAAACATACCCTTTTAGTCCCTTTAGGACATACAAAAGTTCCCCATTTCCACATTCTATCAGAAACAGAAACAAATTTATCAGAAAGAAAAGGGCAATCCAAATTCCCTTCTTCTGTTGTTTCACTTCCAGTTGTAACAGAATTTAAAGCACAACATCCCTTTAATTGAACACCGTGTGTTCCTTCATAATATTGAAATCTAATTCTTGTTGGTTCTGATAAGGAATTTAAATTAGTATTCTCTGAATTTCCATTAATATTTGTCCACAATCCAGCTTTTTCACGTGGATAAAGAAATACTGCTGCATATGAACTTGTCTCTAGAAAAAAAATAAAAATTAGATTAGAGCTGATTGGAAAAAGCCTGCTTTATTTTTTGATTTTCTCCCATTGTTACTTATAATTTTTTTATTTTCATATCAGTTCCGAAAAACAGCAAACTTAGCTTATACTATATAATACATATAACTTCCACTTAATTACAAAAAAAATCATTCCCCAAATTAATATATGCATGTACATAAAATTTATTTTGCCTGTTATTCCTTGTCTAATTCCAGTAACTCTATTCATAAATTGTCCTTTAGTAACTTCAAATTTAGTAGTTAATCCACGTGCTGCATTTTCTGCTTCAACTGTATCTTTATATGAACAACTAGTTCCTTTAAAAAACATTTTCCATTTAATTTTTTATTTATTTCTTTTACCATCTTCAAAAGAACATTTAATTGACTGGCAAGTTGCAGAGTCAATAGAGGAAGTTGTTGATGGTACAACTACTTCATCACCACTTTTGGCTATTACTCCATGAGCTTTTGCATTAATATTTTCTTCGCCTTTAAAAAATAATTTAAATTTTAAATAGTAAAATTAAAAGAATTTTTGCTTGAATTGATAGACTAAAATAAGGGAATATGATACATAATTAATTTTTATTTAACAAAAGATTATAACAAAAGAATTTTAACTCTATCTATAATTAGAAATTCAATCCAAATATAAAATTCTAACTCTTTAAGCAATTATAATTTAAGTACTTTATGAATATTAATTAATTTATAAGAGAATAAATAAAGAAAATATAAGAAAATAAATTCACCTTGTGATAAAGGAACAGGTTCTTTATCAACAAGGGAAATTCCTTCTTCACCTTTGTCTGAAACAAGAACTATTGAGGATGAAGCAGCTGAACCTGAAGCAGCCGACTCTTTTGGAATTTTGTTTTCGCTTAAAATTAATTATTTAATATTTATTTTTGAAATAATTTCAAGGAAGGGAATAACCCTTAATCAGGGTGGCCCTTTTACCCTATTTCTAGAGGATTTTCCCTATTTTTAACCTTTTGCCCTATATTTGCCCTATTTTTGAGTGGCTGCGCCCTATTTTAGTGTTTTGGAAGGGGCCACCCTGCCCTTAATATATTTACTTTTCGGTAATTTCTGATTTTGAATCCTCTTTCCCTTCCAATTTATTTTCATTTCCTCCATTTTCAGTTTCCTCAATTAAAGGAATTGTTGTTGTTTTTATTAAATTTTCTGTTGTTGTTTTAATTTTTTTAGTTGATTTTATTGATATTTTTTGTGTACTGCTAGTTGCTGTTTGTGTAGGAGGGCCAGCACAATCTGGGGGTCTTCTCTCATAAAGAATTTCAATATCATCCAAAAATGCAATATCTCCTATTGTTTCATCAATAAAATTACTGGCAACAAAAACAATCTAAAAAATAAATAAATTATTTAAAAAAGAGATTAGAAGTTTGCCTTATTTATTTTTAAAAATGGAGAATCTAAATAATTAAAGATCAGCATATTATATTTGATCATTTTAAATTTTCGTCTGTTTTTCTTTCTAGTAATTTTTGTATTTTTTAAATCAAAATTTAAATTACATCAACATAAGAAGCTTTAGGTAATGCCAATTCTGTATAGGCCACATGTCCAGGCGATGGAAACTCCTGACAGTTTAGTAAAGGATTGAATCCTAAGGTAGCTGGAAATGATTCTCTCTGACAAACCTTTAAAAAATAACTTTTTTAGGTTATTTTTTAATTTAAATTTACTTGAAGTAAAACATTAGATGACTGCCAATGTCTAGCTCTAACTTTAATTGGTGAACTTGCACAAGTTATAGCACAAGAAGAAAGTTGGGCTTCATCTGAAGGACCTGCACCTTTTGCATAAGCAAACTACATATTTAAAATAAAATTTATTTTTAATTTCTGATATTTATTTGTTTACCAAATAACGTCCTTTCATTGAAATATTTCTTAAATGAATACTTTCTGGAGTACCCTGAACTAAATACCAATCAATTTGATCATCACTGGGTGTTGGGATATTTGCCCAACAACAAGGTTCTCCTTCAAAATTGCAACTCAAAGCTTCACCTAAAAAAGGTTCAAAATTCTAAAAATTGCTTCAATAAATTTTCTGTATTAGCTAACTAGTTTATTATTAAAAATAATTTAAATTGAGGGTTATATAAAATAGTTAAATAAAATAAAAGTTTACTCTTATAATTTTGATTATAATTTTAAAGATGAATTAATTTAAACAATAAATTTCATTATTAATATAGAATAAAATAATTTTAATTTCAAAACCAACCATCAACTACAGGACCACCACCCTGAGAATTATAGCCTTCAGATCCAAATTCGGCCAACCCTACACGACTTCCAAGTAATGCTTGTGCTGACTGGCCAATTGGGGGTTCCCCTCTAGTTCCGATTGGAGTTAAAGGTAAATTTGGAGCTCCTCTAGCAGCAGCATTAGCTGGGCCACCTCCTCCCCCACTTCCTCCGCCAGCTTGATAAGTTGGGGCAGAAAATGCAGCTGGTGACATGGATCTTGGGCCTGAGGATATACAACTTAGGGCTGAAAAAATAAAAATATTTAAGATTGAGTTTTACAAAGTACTAGACATTCTAGAAGATATTAAACGAGAATTTTTGATAAGAATTTTTATTCAACACGAAAAGGTGAAATGAAAATTAAAAATTAATTTTGTTCAATGTGCTCTACCTTGTGCCGTCCATTGAAGTAAAAATAACGCTGCTTGTGTATAATAAGGATAACGCCATATTTGTCTTCTCCTTTTGTGCATTTTGTATAGAAAATATATTTGTTAATTTTAAATGATTTTTAAATTTTTAATCTCTTAACAAAAAAAACAATAATTATTACAGTCAGAATTTAAATAGTTATTTATTTTTAACACTCTTCAAAGATATTGGATAAATTAATCATCGAATAAATTGATAATAAATACACTATTTAATGAGACAAAAATTAATGGTGGTTTGTTTAAAATTGTAGCTAACACAAAAAATACAAGTTATTTAATTAATTATAATTTCGTCCAAAATCAACTAATTTTTAATATGAAGAGAAGCTATTTTGAGAAATAATATAGGTAACATTTATTATTAGGAAAATCACCGCTATATTATATGGAGTGGAAATTAATTTAAATTAGAATTAAAATTATAAATAAAAATATATAAGTTAGCAAAAAACGTAAAATAAATTAAGTTTATTTTCCTTTTATTTTGAGAATTTAAAGATTTTTTTGGAATAAATTGGAAAGATTCACTTTCATCCACAATTGTTATTTATTTATTACGCACGAGCAATATATCGGCGTAACAAAAAAATAAAAGATATATATTTATTTATTTATTAGCAAACTTTTTTTTTAAAAAAGAAAAATCTTGGAAAGAAAATAATTCGTGATCTAAAAAATTCCAAAAAGTTTTTGGTAAAAAGAAGATGGCGCAAATTTTAAGTAATTTTGCGCAAGATGAAGAATATATGTATATTGAGTGAAATTTTGAAAAGAGAAAGGAAAATATGTATAGAAAAGTGAATGAGAGAGAGGATTTATAAAAAAATATTTTTTGTTGGCAAAAAATAAGTCTTAAAAATTTTATTGATTTTTAAATAATTATTTCTCAAATTTAAATTATTAGCCCGGATAAGATGAAAATTTATTAGTTCTAAGTCATTCAAAATCATAAAGTTATCTTTTAATTAAGCGACAAAATCCAAATTAATGAATAATAAATGAAATTAAATGGAGATTAATTTAAAAAAAGAGAAATAATTTATTTATTTATTTAATATAAAAATTAAATATTATATAAATTAATTTTTAATTAAATGGATCATTTAAAAAGAAAAATAAATAAAATATATGCGGATATATTAAAGAAAGAAATCATCATTAAATAAATATTTTAAGAATGAACGGGATTTTAAAACAAGATTTTATAATTATAAATAAATTTGTTAATCTTTGAATTGTTTTAATATCTCTGAGACAAAATAGAATAAAAATAAAATTATAAAAGTTAACAATTCTATATAAATGTTTGTGTTAAGTATGGCTTTTAAACCAATTAAGTAATAATATTTTTATTAAAAAGAAACAAGAAAAATTTAGACCGTTGTCCAGTTTATACGTTCGATCTACCTTTGTGTGTTCACAAAACCTTATGCATTCAATCAAATTTATTTATGTATGTCCAATCAAAACAATACGTCCCTTCTTTATTCTGTATCCTAGATTAATCAGTTGATGTAAGGTAATTGTGGATGTAGGGTAATTCATTGATCAACTTGATCAAGCTTGATCAACCCTAAGTTAATTACTTGGACTGTAATTTAACCTGTAAAATATTGTTTGGACGCTTATAAAAATTTAATTGAATGCCTAAAGGTTGATTAGACTCATAAACTAGACAAGAGAAAAATTTCTTTGATTTGTTAAATCATTTTATTTGAAATATGCCAACGGAATATGTTAAAAACATTTTTTATATTTAGAACTCTCTATTATTAGATCATCATTTAATATTTTAAGGATAATTTTATTGATTGTATAGTTTTTATTAAAAATTAAAAGAAAAAATTTTGCCGACAAATATCAACTGGTTAGAAATTTTCAAGGATTGAAAGATCATCTCTAAAAAAAGGAGAAAAAAGAAATTAATGCTCGCCCCAATCCATTCGAGCAACATGGATGGCATCTTTAAATAAATAAATTCTTCTAAATGGTATTTCTCTCCCTCTCCATACACGCGACATATAAAAAAGCAAGTTTTGGGTTAGAAGAAGCTAAAGGAATAATTTGGAGAAAAAGTTGGATGGAGGGAATGTGAACAAAGAAAAAGTAAAAGAAGAATAATTTTGGCGCTTTATTTTAATCTCGGAAGAAAAAAATTTAAAGAAAAAATAATTTAATAAAAGAATGAAAAGTGTGAATATTGGGGAAGAGAGGAATTGATGTTTGACTGCTTGAATGATTATTTATTCGCCTTCGAGATTGGAGAGAGGAGGAGTCTTTACTTTCTTCCTTAAAACGGGTTATTTTCTAAATAATATTTTTATTTAGTCTTTATTTTTTTATTAAGCTAAATTCTTAGCTTAAATTTAACCAATTTATTTGTAAAAACACAAAGTAATAAAATCTATGTAGTACACAAAATAATAAAGGATATCAAGAAGAATTAAAGAGAAAAAAAACATTTTGATGTTCCATTAAATAACATCCTTTTATTGGAGAAATAAAATCAAAAAAAAAATTTGAAAGGAAAAAATTTTAAAAAATCCTTTAGAAAATTTATTAAAATTTTAATTTAAATTACATAAATTAAAAAAGGCAAATCCATTTTTGTCTTGATGATGATACACAATTCATAAAGTGAATTTTCTTTCAAAAAATTATTTCCTGCAAGAAAGCTTAGCGGATACCTAAGATTCCTTTTTTACTTCCGGGATCTTCACTTCCAACATATTAATTTACCTCTTACTATCGATTCTCAAACACCTTGAGTAATTTAGAAGGGAGAGGAGGATATGTATTGGCTCTCTAATCCCGCAATTGGCGCAAATCTCAGTGTAATTGAGGGAAGTCTTCCTCAAAATCTTACAAGTCGCGCACCTCTCCAGCAGAATATATCCTTTATTTAATTTTAAAATGAGGAAGACTCTCCTCGAAGAAGTAACTGACCTGCCTTTTTACTTTTTCTTCTCTCTAAACTTTTGTCTTGCCCGATATTGAATGATGAATTCAAGAATATATAATCCTAAATATCGAAAAAAGGTATCTTCACTCTTAATACCACTTCCAAAAAAATCCTAAAATAATTCACGACTTAAAATACACAAAAATTTCAATGCTCTTAATAAATTCAAATCAACGAAATAAGTGAAATGTTTTACTCAAAAACTCAAGCATAATAAACACAAAACCCACAACATTAAAAATACAAAAACGATATATGTATGTATCTATGTAAATTACAACATCCTTTATTCTATCAACTCACATCTCACTTCCATCCTTGTTCAATCTTGTAAGCACGGTATACAATTCTTGGATCTTTCTGAAAAAGGATATCAAATAAATTAATTCAAGCTAATTCTCACTTTCCAACTGAATGGCTCATTTAACTGTTCCAGACTCAGCTTCGCAAGTTCAGCCTTTAGAAGCGCCGAAATCCGAAAATAGTCAACATTTGTCTTTGAGAAGTCGATTCCCTCTAAGATCTCATCAAACACGACAGGCATATTAGTCAGCAACAAATCACGCCCCAAACTGCGGCAATGGACCTTGAAATCGACTGTAGAGGTGTGCGGAAGCTTGTCCCAGGGCAAATTACCTGTAAAAATACATATGTAGATTAAATTAAAAGTTAGAGTAAATATCACCATTAAAGAATTCGTGACACATATAGAACCAGGATTCGATGTCGTCTTTTGGCTGGTATTCCAACCGGCTGTAATTTGAAATCGGCCTGTAGGCATCAGTGCCTAAAATTGGACATGTTCCGAATGGACGTGACTTTTCCCGACACCGCCGTGCTAATCCAAGGTCAATTATGAAAATTTGGTCATCAAAATCCGAATGAGGCTGTCCAACAACGAAATTGCTCGGATTGATGTTCCGATGCATCCAACTGCGATCATGGAGTGACCAGATACGTGTAAACGTTTTCAGGCAAAGTTTGAGAGCATCTACAAGCAGCAGACTCTGACCCGGGTGAGCCCGTCTAATTCGGTTTAAATCCGTGCCCAGGCGCTGGATCAGAAGGACGCGACTGCCGTTTAGAGCTCGGAAACGATCATATAGTTCCGCGAAACCACGAACACCCTTGCAATCAAGATAAACACGAGCCTCAATGCCCAAAGTTCTCCTGTTAATAATTGAAAATTATTTTAATTTGCTAAATATTCTAGACAAAAAACTCACTTATTTTCATTGTTAGATTCAACTTTCGCCATACACTCGAATGCGGGATTCTTTTTGTTGCGCACAAAATAGACTCTGGTGAAAGGTCCAGAGTGAACAAGACGAAGCGGACTATACCCAACACATCTGATGGTGAAAAAATCACTGTCACGGATCAACGGATCAGCTCCTTGCACTGCAAACTTGGCGTTATCCAGGCTTTCTTTGTCTTCTTTTTCTATAGTTGTATGATGAGGCTGCTGCTTCTCAAAGCTTGCATCCGGCGCGCTTGGAACCTGCAATTATCTTGTATTATATGAGATGCACTCAATTAATAAAAACTAGCCTGCTTGGCCTGATAGAGCGTCTCGTTTTCCGCCATCGGCTGCGCCCTTATAGACAGGTCAACGTAGGCGGACTGATCGAAATTCGGCTGCTGTATCACGTTGGCTGAGTTGGTAGGTTCGGCTTGACCGCCGTCGACGCAGCAATGGCCAGCAGGTTCGGGCTCATTACTCTGCTGCTGTTGATTCTGTGATGCTGGATTACACGCGACCGCAGGTGCGCCTAAGCATATGTAGTCGGAGTCCATTGAACAGAAAATTGCTGGTAGATTGGGTGTATTGTCGATGATGGTTGTCCGATGCTAACCCGGTTGCTTTTATACACTAGAAGCGTAACTAATTAAACATGGAATTCTGGTATAAAAAGTGAACAATAGATTGTTGGACCATTCGCGGGTCGTCTTGAGAAGAGCTGGCGGGCCAGACTACTCATGCATTTCATGTAAAAGGTGGGCCTTTCCCAGTGATTTGTGCCCAAGGACCTCTGGACAGGACGATCGGCCACTTTAGGACAATGTTTGCAGAAAACAATTGTGTGGTGAGGCTTAAATCTTTATTTAAGTCCGCGCAAAGATAATCAAAATAACTAATTTATATGTAACAACTACAAGTTTATGAAATTTTAATTTTGTTACATAGATAAAATACATAGATACTCATTAGAAATTTAATTAGGATTATTCCGAGTCAACTTTAAGAGGAAATTATACGCCTCTTTCACATTCCAATGAAAATCCTAAATAAAATTACTTCAAATTTTAGACATTAATTTAAATAACTTGGAGCTGATTTTTGTTACAAAGCAATTTTACTTGTTCAGTGCCGTTTTGCGAAATTGCTTGAAATGAAACTTCAGCAAGTGGTTCTTCAATATCGACTTGACCATTTGACTACAAAATAATAGTTTAAAACCCTTTTGTTCAATTTTAACCTCAACAACGCTTAAAATGCTCCAATCAATTCCCACCATTTTTGGATAGGGCGAGAGCCCGTCAGATGACATTTCTTCGGATTCTGTGGCCAGAAATAAAAAATGGAAGTCTACAGAACTTGGTAATAATTTCACGAATGGATATAATTATTCAAATATTAAATTAAATATTGGGAATTAATCAAAAAACGATTTTAAATGAATCATTTTTAATAATTTTTCAAAAATATGCAAAAAAAAATATTTTCTCACATACAGCTTGTTAAATGTGAGAAGACCTGTAACAAGAAAAACAAAAAAGAATAAAACATTTTTCTAAAATATCTGATCAATCAGTCTCCGATTTTTGACCAGTTTTTTCAGCATTTTCTTTTGCTATTCTCATCAACTCAACATCCAATCTTTCTTTTGCTCGATAAATCTAAAAAATTAAATTATTTTTCAAAAAATTTCCAACCTTTGCTTGCAAATAAAGCGTTCCTCCCTTAGATTTTTCATTCGCAGAAAAAAGATGCTCATACCTCCGTTTAACTTCCTCTTCATTTGGGGGAGGTTTTATACCAAGAATCTGCATTGCTTCCTATTTTTTTAAAAATTTATTTGGAAATTAAAATAATAATTTACCTGTGTTGATATTCCCATTCTCAAGTCAGTCTCAATTATTCCATTTCGCCTTTGCCTAGCATTAAACACATTTGGACTTTCAGAAGAAGGCTGCCTTGCTGCAGCTTGTCTGGTGGCTGTAAATATAATGATACCTATCCATTATCAAAAAATCCTTACCATTTAATTCTTCACTAATTGCTCTCCTCAAAGCAGTAAAAACAGCGCCAGCACCGGCAGCTGCAACTCTGGCTAGAGCTTTCCAAACCATCAAATAAAATTTATAACAGATAAAATCAAACTGAGAGATCAAAAAAACTAACTGGCAATGTTAAATGCTTTAAGAAACAAAAAATAAAAATACCATAAATATTTTATTCCTAAAGTAAAAAATTGAAAAACAACAACAAAAACAGTCAAATCATGGAATCAAAATAAATATTTAAATGATGATTATAATGAAATTTCATTGTTAAAGTATTATATCGAAATTCAATAACAATTCATTTTTCAGCTCTCAAATATTAAATGTCATCAGTACATTCCGCCCATGCCTCCCATTCCACCCATGCCTCCCATTCCGCCACCTGCAGGCATTGCCGGCTCTTCTTTAGGCACTTCCGTGATAACACATTCAGTGGTAGATAACAACGAAGCGACACCAGCAGCATCTTGAAGAGCCGTTCTGATAACCTTTGTTGGATCACTGAAATTTTTTAAATCTCGTTTATAATTATTCTAGTATAATAATTGGGCCTTACATAATTCCAGCTTCCAGCATGTCAACAAAGGAATCCTTCATTGCATCATAACCAAAGTTGATATTTGAATTAGCAAGAATCTTCTCTACAATCCCTGAAGGTTCAAGTCCGGAATTAGCAACAATAGTAGCAATTGGTTGACGAACAGCTTTTTGAACAATTTTTATTCCTAGGGTAAGAGGTGTTATTAGAATAAAAAATTTGTTTATTATAAACCCATACCTTTTAACTGGTCATCATTGGGAGCCTTAATATCGTCCAACTTTTTAAGCGCACGAAGCAAGGCAACGCCACCTCCTGGAACAATACCCTCCTCAACAGCTGCGCGAGTAGCACACAAAGCATCAGTCACGCGATCCTTCTTTTCATTGACCTCAACTTCACTTGAACCACCAACTTTAAGAAGTGCTACACCAGTGGACATTTTGGCCAAACGTTCATTTAATTTTTCCTTAAATTAATTTTTTGTAATTAAATCCACATTTTAAACCTTCTCATAATCAGAAGTTGAATTCTCAAGTTCATCTTGAATCTGAGCGATTCGCTTCTCAACATCTTTCTGATCACCTTTACCGCGGAGAATCAAAGTATCGTCCTTAGTAATGGTGACCTCATCAGCCTCACCAAAGTCCTTAAAATTGAAATATTGAATATCAAACAATCACAACAAACGTGATTCTGAATCTCCTCCAATTTGATCAAAGTTGCTTCTTCACCGAAAACAGTTCCACCGCAAGAAATTGCCCTAAAATCAACGATAATTTAATTCGGATTTAGGTAACTTACATGTCTTTCAAAGTATTCTTACGGTTATCTCCGAATCCAGGGGCCTTAACTGCACAGACTTGAAGTCCAACCTTCAGACGGTTTAAAACAAGTGTAGTGAGTGCTTCACCATCAACATCCTCAGCAATGATGAGTAACGGTCGTCGATATTTATTAGCCAATTCAAGAGCAGGAACGATGTCCTTTAAAAAAATTCATTCTCAAAAAATTCATCAAGTCAAAGATACTTGAACTTGGCTTATTTTCTTCTCACAAAAAAGAATGTAGCACTTCTCAAATTCAACCTTAGCGCCTTTAGCCGAATTGATAAAATATGGAGAGATATAGCCTCTATCGAACTTCATCCCTTCAATGAGTTCAAGCTCGTCTTGCAAAGTTTTTCCATCCTTTACAGTAATTACTCCCTTATTGCCAACCTAGATAAGTAAAAAAAATAATAAAAATTATTCTAAATTAGTTATGATGAACCTTCTTCATTGCCTCCGAGATCAACTGTCCAATAGATTTGTCACCATTTGCAGAAATTGTCGCAACCTGGGCAATCTCTTCAGGAGTTGTAACAGTCTTGCTCATATTTTTCAATTCCGTCAAAATAACTTCAACAGCTTTCATAACCCCATTTCGGATTTCTACTGGATTTGCTCCCTTGCTGATGCTATCAAAGCCTTCCTTAGCAATAGACCTAGCGAGAACAGTGGCACAAGTTGTTCCATCGCCAGCCTCCTCATTTGTTTTATTAGCAACATCCTAATAAAGATGTGATTACTTAATCAAAAATCTCGAACCTGCACGAGCTTAGCACCCATATTTTGGCACTTGTCCTTAAAGTCAATAGCTTTTGCAACTGTAACACCATCCTTTGTGATTTTTGGACTCCCCCACGACTGTTCAATAATCACATTCCTTCCCTAAAAACAAGAATCTTATCGTTAGTGCAAAGCTTTTAAACTGAAACCTTCGGTCCCATTGTCACAGCGACGGCATCAGCAAGCAAATCGACACCAACAAGCATAGCTTTCCGGCCTTCAGAGCCAAATTTGAGATCCTTGGCATAACCACGAACTGAAGTCTTCAAGACCCTACTTAGCATTTTTGTCGTAATAAAATCAAATGTACTGAAATTGTTATCAGTTAAGAAAAAATATTAACTATATGTAAGTAAAAACTTTGAGAAAACATCGAATTTAAAGAAAAAGTAAGTTACACTCTAACCTATATTTAATGGACCTAGGTCAACTTTTCATTTTAGTATTTGCCTATCCGAAATTTCTCGAACATTTGCTTCTTATTTCTTTTAGCATGGAAAGGATCATTGAGTACCGGCCAGTTGTGTACCTGGCCATATTTTGGGCCATAACTTTTTCGATTCTGAGTTGATTTAAATAATTAATTTATCAAACGAAAGCCCGTGATGTGAGAATTATTTTCGCCAACAGGAGTGATTTGATCAGATCATAATACAAAAAGTTATAGCCAAATAAATATCAAAATCACGATTGCGCGCATTTATCTAGATATAACTTTTTGTAACATGACCTGATCAAAACAATCCTGTTGACGAAAATAATGCATACATCCAGGCTTTCGAATGCCAAAAGATTTATAAGAATTGGTACAAACCTCAAAGAGTTATGGCCCAAAATATGGTTAGGTACACAATCGACTGTTACTCAATGATCCCCCACCGATTTTAGCAATTTAGAAATTTGGCGAAATGTTTTTACTAGAGAAGGGAAAATTCTAGAATTACAGTGAAGAAGAGTAAATTATTTTTTTCTTATCTTACAATTTTAGAATTTTTTTCTACTTTCTTAACTTTATTTATTTTTCAGATATTTTTATTTTGACTTTAATATCTTTGTTTGGTTATTATGTTGCTCTCTCTTGTGCGGAAATCGGTTCATTTTACTTCATTTATTAATTTATTACTTTCTTTTAGGCAGCTGCCAAAAGCTTCAAGCCCTTTTTTGACCGCATTCTCGTCGAGCGTCTTGCACCTGAAACAAAAACTAAAGGAGGGATTATGATTCCTGAAAAGGCGCAAGGCAAAGTGCTTGAAGGGACTATTGTTTCTGTTGGCCCTGGTTATCGAACTGAAGATGGAAAGACTTTGCCAATGCAATTGAATGTTGGCGATAGAGTTCTTCTTCCGGAATATGGTGGCAACAAAGTTATTTTGGACGATAAGGAATATCACATTTTCCGCGAATCTGACATTATGGGAAAATTTGAATAATTACATTAAATGATGAACAGCGATTGACATCTCCACGTTTTTTTTCACTTTGTTAAATTTTTTTGTTCTGTTTAGGAGTAAATATTTATTTTGAAATTGACTTTGACTAATTTTTTGCGTTAGTTCGCATTTTCTTTACTGATTATGTTAAATCATTTAATACTCATTGTTTTTTATCACCATAATGTTTTAAAAACAAAGTTTTCTGGGTTTTTTTGATATTAAACGGCTTGTTTCAATTTAATCAATTTTGATTTTACTAGCATATTACTTTTTTTAAATTTATTTTTAGACTAAAATAAAACGAGTGAATTCATTTCATCAATTATTATTGTTCGAGATGGCAAAGTCAAAGAACCATACAAATCATAATCAGAACAGGTAATAAATCTAACAAAATTTGGGCCATGATTAATCTAGTTCAGTGGCAACTCGACGATTTTTCGGGGGTCACAAGCTACATCTTCCTCATAGATATCTAGTTTAAGTTTATAGTAGACTTGTGGACTTGAAAACAAATACTAATATCCCAATTTCAGCAAGGATCATCGCAATGGAATTTACAAGCCGAAGCGTCAACGCTATCAATCAATGAAAGGGGTTGATCCAAAGTTTTTGCGAAATTTGCGCTTTGCGAAGAAACACAACAAACGACACCCAAAAGTTGAATCGAGTGCTTAGATGGTTTGGATATCTTCTTGTCGATACAATTTTGTATTGAAATATTGTTAAACCGAAAAATTTAAAGTAAATTTATTTTGTTGCTTCTCGTTATCGTGATAATGATTTTGAACTTTATGGTTCCTTCATTTCTTCCCAATGTTCACTTTTTTGCCTAAACCTACCAAAGTAAGAAGGTTTATCCTGAATAAATTTGGATTGGTTTTACCAGCCTATGCAAAAGGGAAAATTGGGCAGATCAATTTGGAACATAAAGTTCAAAATTGCCAAATTATTTTACAAATATTCTGACTACTCTTTATTTCACTTGAAGACCACGTAGATTAGGACATAGTTCGAAACGCATCCTTCAATATTTTTTCATGACATATTTGGACATTTTACTGATTTTAAATTAACACGATTTTTTCTAAACTCAATTTAAGCGACCCTAATAGACACAAAACAAACTATAAATCTAGAAGTATTTATTAAAACACGTCACTGCAAACAAATATCACGAATTAACAATCTATATTATTTTTTGCACAAAGGTTCTTTTCACTTATTTCTCTCCTTTTGCTGTCTTCGCTAACTTCATAAGTCCTTCAGTGCTGTGTGATTTAGGTCGTTCAAGTGGTAATCCCATTCCACGCGCCCAAATCATTTGTGATAAGCAACCCAAAGCTCGAGAAACACCAAAAAGGACGGTGTAGTAGCTCATCTCTTTCATTCCAAAATATTGAAGAAGAACCCCAGAATGTGCATCAACATTTGGCCACGGATTCTTTGCTTTTCCTTGCTCCAATAGGATGTTGGGTGTTATCTTGTAGAGGTCAGAAACAAGTTTGAATAGTGGATCCTTTGGCAAATGTTTCAAAGCAAA